CTGGATGTGAGGACACACTGTAATCCCAGAGGCTGGGGAGGCGAAGGCAGGAGGATTACAAATTCAAAGCTAGCCTCAGCAACTTAGTGAGGCTCTAAGCGATTTAGCTCCCTAAACTGAAACTGTTTCAAAATAAAAATAAAAAGGGCTGAGGAAGTAGCTCAATGGTTAACAGCTCCTGGGTTGAATCCCTAGTACCAAAACAAAAACTAACTCCTGGTTTCAAGTGATCCTCCTGCTTCAGCCTCTAGAGTAGCTGGGAGTGTAGGCCTGTACCACCTTGCATTGCTTGAAATTATTTTCTGATCCTAATAAATCAGTGCATGAAGGCCCATTGAAAAGACATTTGAACAAACAGAGCAACCTATTGCTATTCTATTTTTCTTTCTCATATTCTAGCACTGAAATATTAGAAAGAAGAATTTACCAAAACCTGTACAGATGTAGTACTACTGCTCTTACTAATAATGTTATACAAGAGGCTATGCAAACTGTAATAAAAATGCCAGTGATTTGTACATAGTAGCATTAATATCTCTAGTAATATTTTCTGTGAAAAAATAATTTATCCATGATTCTTATCACATTGTTTAAATATAATATATAAAAATCATGGTTCATTTCCAAAGGTAAGTATAGCTTTAAGGGCTTTAAGGATTTTATTTAAAATTCCAATTTCTCTTGTTTCAGTGGAACAAAATTTCTCCAAACTGAAATTAAATAAGTTTATTTAAGGGATGGGGTTGTGACTCAATGGTAGAGTGCTTGCCTAGCATGTGTGAGGAACTGGGTTTGATTCTCAGCACCATATATAAATGAATAAATAAAATAATGGTCCATCAACAACCTAAAAAAGTTAAAAAAAAAAAAAGAAGAAAACTATTTAAGAAAGTAATGATGTACAAAAGGTTGTCTAACTTGGCCTTACTATCTGTGGAACCCAAATGATGTGATATCTTAATGATAATGTAAACATTTTGCTGAAATGAAGACATGAAATGGAAATTTTATGGAATAAAAGTACTATATTATAATTTATGAATTGTGTACATCTTTATTTTACCGGTCATCAAAACATTAATAGCCTATCTGGGTGCAGTGGTACAGGCCTGCCATCCCAGCAATTCTCAAGACTGAGGCAGGAGGACTGCAAGTGAGGGCAGCCTAGGCAACTTAATAAGACCCTGTCCCAAAATAAAAAATACAAAGGATTGTGTGGCTTAATGGGTTTAATTCCCAATAAGGCTCCCCCCCACCAAAAAAAAAAAAAAGTAAAATGAAAGAAACCTCAAAAATCATGAAAACTCTCAGACACGCTCAATCATTTTTATTTTGATATTTTGTTGAATTTCAGTTGCATGAAAAGCCATAGCTTGGGGTTGGAGTTGGGAGTGTAGCTTGGTGGTAGAGTATGTACTTATTATGTGTGAAGCCCTAGGTTTATTCACCAACCAACCAACCAACAAAACAACCACAGCTTTAAACACTTAAAACAAACAAACAAACAAACAAACAGGGGCTGGGGTTGTGGCTCAGTGGTAGAGCCCTCACCTAGCATGCATGAGGCACTGAGTTTGATCCTCAGCATCACATAAAAATAAAATAAAGATACTGTGTCCACCTAAAACTAAAAAATAAATATTAAAAAAGAAACAAAGTTTATTCTTTATTTGGCTAATATTTTTCCCTTAGATCAAAGTACAGGTTTAAAAAACTTAAATTTTTATTTTTTAGTTTTCGGCGGACATATCTTTGTTTGTATGTAGTGCTGAGGATCGAACCCGGGCCGCACGCATGCCAGGTGAGCATGCTACCGCTTGAGCCACATCCCCAGCCCCATAAACTTAAAATTTTTCCAAGGGCTCAAGGTGTAATAGTGGTAGAGCACTTGCCTAGCATGTGTGAAACTCTCTGGTTTTGATTGACACCTTTAGAACAAAAAAAAAAAAAAAGAAAAAAGAAAAGAAAAGAAAAAAGTTTCAATGAATTAATAGCTATAAAGATCTAATTATAAAGTAGTTCACTTACCATCTTTCAGTATATAACTATAAACTCTATGTAAAGCAAAAACCAATTACAATTAAAAATATTAATTTGCAAATAAGATAATTTTTTTTAGGCTAGGAATTGAGCCCAGGGCCCTGTGAATGTTAGTTAAATTCTCTATCACTGAGCTATACCCACAGCTCTGCTGATTTGTGTGTGTGTGTGTGTGTGTGTGTGTGTGTGTGGTGCTGGGGATTGAATCTAGTGCCTATATGCACTCGAGGCACACACTCTGCCAACTGAGCTGTATTCGTTCCCAGCCCTCTGCTGATTTTTTTATACCTTTATTTTATTTATTTGTATATGGTGCTGAGGATCGAACCCAGTGCCTCACATGTGTTATGCAAGCGCTCTACCACTGAGCCACGACCCCAGCCCTGCTGATTTGTTTTCTACTTGTAATATGTACCAGACATATTTAATTAAATTGAGTTTGCCTTCATTTCAAATATTGTTTCAAAGCCATGTTTCGAATTCTAGCAGGAATCAATGTTTAATTTTTTTATTTTGAAATAATTTCAAAACTACAGATTGATTGTAGCATTTGTACAAAGAATTTTCATGTACCCTTCTTGCAGATTCCCTATTGTTGACATTTTAACAAATTTGCCTTATTAATTTCTCTCTTCCTCTCTCTCTCTCTCTTTCTCTCTCTGATCCTCTTGCTTCAGCCTCTGGAATTCTGGAATAATGGGTATGTGCCACCACACCCAGGAACTGTTGATTTTTAATTTAACCATTTATTTATTTATGTTATTTTATATATATATATATATATATTTATGTTATTATATATACATATAATATATATATGTATACACACATATTTTAGTTGCAGATGAACACACAGTATCTTTATTTTTATGTGGTGCTGAATTCAGCACCTTGTGCATGCTAGGCGAGTGCTCTACTGCTGAGCCACAACCCCAGCACCCCCAGCCCCAACTCTAATCATTTAAGTAAGGTGATACTGACCACAGGTGCTGGACAAGTATGCCTGTCCCCTGGTATCACTAACAGCATTGACTGAGCTAGCCATGCAGCCCCAAACCTCCAGTTATGACTAAAGGAAATGAGTACACATATTTTTAATTTTGTTGCTATAGATTTATAAAATAAAAGAAGGAAGATAAACATTTAACTCAATGATGTGATAGTTTTCTAAATATTCAGATGAATGGTATATGGGTCTTCATATGTATTCTTGACTAAAACATGAAAAACTTAAGGGTGGGTGGGCCTACTATTTCCAGGTAGACTTTCTTTCTTGATGCTTATACCTCCAATGTGAGCAGGGCCTGACCTGGTAGGTAGGCTAATAATTTGATGAACCACTCAATTTCTATGCCTACAAATTGCACACGTCTCTTTTTATACTTACAAAAGCTGTTCAGCAAAGATTCAGTCACATTTGAGTGTGGGGAATATTTTAACATTTCTTTTCTAGAGCTCTGTTGAAATTGGCCAGAGTGAACTCCATTGTCATTTTTCCTATTACATAGGAATTAAAAGTTGAAACCAGAGGTAACTGACATCATACTTCTGGTTTATCCCAGTGGTAGTTTTATGGACCCACTTACCCTTTTCATTCTAGTTTGGAAGCCCCTTCTTTTAGCTCTGACAATGAACAGCTGATGTCCTGATTCTGTGCTGTTTAATTAAACCTGTGTACACCCATCTGCTAAGGTCAGGCTACTATCATTGGAAGATGAGGGGATAGTTAAAATTCATAATAAGTCTTTTTCTAGTGGAACCAGTAAGCTTCATTATTGGGTAAAATAGGATTTGTTTTCTGCTTTGCTGAGACTACTGGGCTTGATTGAAGCCAAATTAAAAAATTCAGATTCCCAGCCCCAAACCTCCAGAGTCTGATTCAGTAGAGGTGGAAGATATTTAAATATCTGCATTTTAACTAGTACTTAAATGATTCCCATGCAAAAATCCCAAAGACCACTCTGAAATACTGTTAGTGAGAAATACTTGTCCTTGATAATTGGTTTTTCTCAATCTTGGTGTTGAAAACAAGAAAAGAAAATGGCCCATTGCCACAGTCACAATTAGTTGTTTTTTGGTACCGGGGGATTGAACTCAGGGGCATTCGATTACTGAGCCACATCCCCAGCCCTATTTTGTATTTTATTTAGAGACAGGGTCTCACTGAATTGCTTAGAGCCTCGTTTTTTTGCTAAGGCTGGTTTTGAACTCACGATCCTCCTGCCTCAGCTTCCCGAGCCGCTGGGATTACAGGCGTTTGCCACCGCACCCGGATACAATTAGTTTTAAAAGAAAGTAAAAAGGAATTTTAAAAAGTTTAGTTGACTAGCTTAGAGTGATAGAAAGAAAAGGAATGGGGGTTTCAGGAATCATGGAAAACAATGTAGGTATAGGGATATAGAAAAAAAAAAAAAAAGAGCCCTAAGAAATTGTTTTACCAGAAACAAATAAATAACAGAGCACTTACGCTGGAGATTTAAAGATGCTCCTGACAGCAGGGCCCACCTTCAGGGTTTATAGTTTGCGGTGGGCTGAAGCATGTACGATGGTGCTAAGAAGGCAGAGAAATGTCCCCTATCCCAGGTTTGAGGCTTCCAGGGAAGGCTTCCTGGGAGGATCTTGTAGGCTCTGAATCACCAGGTAGAGTCCTAGAAAGGGTAAGAGGGCTTCAGGGAAAATTCATTTTATTTAATTTAATTTTTTTCCTTCTTAGAAATGTAATGTATTTGTTTTGATAAAATGCTTTAGAAAAAAAAAAAAAGGCGAAAGCCTCATGTAATCCTCCCAAGTTCATACTCACCTCCACCCTTAAGCATTCTCCACCCCTAAGCCCTTAGAGTTGGGAGCGGGCGGCACTCAGGGGTTTGACAAGGGAATGTCCAGCACAGATCCTCCAGCCAGCAGGGGGCGGCAGACCACACACCTTGTAGCTGGAAGCCCTCTCTCTCTTCCACACGTCTCACGCGTAATCATCAGCGCTACATACTGCGCTTGCGCAGGAGCTTCGGCCTTTTCTCCCCTGTAGCGTTGTTGGGCCTGCAGGTCTGTGTGGATCCGCGGACCTGGGTCTCTGTTCCGCAGGATGGTGAGTGGGTACCTCGATCTCAGGGCTCCGGATGAATGGGGGCTCCATTTTCTCGCTCGAACGCCAGCCTAGGGCGCGTGTTGCGCGGCGTAGGGGACGGATGGCATTAGATCCTCGGTTCTGCAGTGCTCAGACTGCGGCTCCCAGCGTGGCTTTAATGGCTGCCGCCCAGAGCGCGTACTGGGGGGAGGGGTTGGTGAAGAGGGGTTACCGGGTTGGAGCCCCGGATTGGGAGTGGGGTAAATTTGGTAGACTTCTGGGAGAGTGCCGGCTGGTCTCAGGGGGCACCAGCAGCCTGCAGTGGTGGAATTGGCATGCACTGGGCTCCAGGCTAGCTGAGCGATGCCGGAGCGGAGGCGGGCTGCGAGTCGTTGCACCCTAGCTTGGCCATCAGCTGAGTCGTGGGTTTTTCAGGAAAGCGTCGTATTTGGTCTGTCTTTTAGAAAGCTTCTGCTCCTGGACCGGGGAAGTAACTTTTGAGCCAGAACTGTCAGTGGAGCTTGGAGGCCGTGGTGGCCCTTGGATCCCGGAAGGGAGCTAATTTAGTTTGGAACACTCATTTCCTTGCTAGTCCTAGTTTTCAGGGACAGGGCCCTAAAGGTGGGATGGAGTGTTGTTCTAAGGGGAAACCTGTGCTCTTACCGGGTTAAGTATTGTGGCAGCCAGTTTAGGCTTTTGAAGAAGGCACAGATGAAGTGAGAGAGTTGTAGTTATTTGAGATTAGGTTTTCGAAGTGAGATGCACAGTATTCAGGCACTGCTGATTGTTGTGGAGCAGTGTTTCCCAAAAGTGGGGTGCAATGATTGGATGGTATTAAGATGTGAGGGAAGAAGTACAGAAACTGTGATAGGCGTTTTAAAACTTTTTAAAATAATGTTACAAGATCTTGTACCTGTTGAATCTAATTGAAGCTTGCATTTTTGTGTAATAGTTTATTTTTTATCAGTTTGTGACAGATGGAAAGCAGAAGAAAAAGTGTTACTTCATTTGGTTTGAAAAGTGAGATGCTATGAAAGTTGACAGTTGTATGGATTTGCTTTTGAAGTACATGATTAATTCGTGTTTAAAGTGTCATAGTCTAAGACATTTATTTAAGTTTCAAAAACATTCTTTTTTGTTTGTTTGTTTTTCTTTAAGGGGTTTGTTAAAGTTGTGAAGAATAAGGCCTACTTTAAGAGATACCAAGTGAAATTTAGAAGACGACGAGGTATGGGCAGTTTTTCATGTTTGCGATATTAAAAGAATCTGTTTTGTAATGGAATATTCCTTCTTAAGTTATTATGGTTTTTCTTTCAGAGGGCAAAACTGATTACTATGCTCGGAAACGCTTGGTGATCCAGGACAAAAATAAGTACAACACACCCAAATACAGGATGATAGTTCGTGTAACTAACAGAGATATCATTTGCCAGGTAAGTTGTAGCCTAGGATCAGACTGTGGGTGATAAATCTTTTTTCACTGAGCTAGAGAACTTGTCCTTGGGAAGCAAAGCACATGGGTTAAAGGGCCATTTTGTGCCTCCAGAAACATTGAATAGTTTGATTCCTTTTAATAGTAATAGAGTGAGATAGTAGGAAACTGATACTAAAACACGCATAAACACGCAAATTTAAGAGTCTTTGGGAAACTTGACCCAGTTTAATTTTATTTCCATTTTCTAATTTGGGAAAAAGACTTAGAGAAACCTGTTGTATGGGGTGGGGAAATACATGAGACAAGTAGAAGTTTCTTGCCATCCCAGTTCCAGACTAAATCCTGACTCATGTTATATGACCTTACATGCTGTTTAACTCATTGTAAGAGTTAAGTGAAACCCAAGATTGTTTTTATTTCTGCTTATTGTTTGAAATAGGTTTTAATAAAATGTACCAAAGTGTCTTGCTTAAAAAAGATCTTTAAAATGTAGTTCCTGGAGTCCAGTGTTCAGGACTTTTACAACTAGGGAACATTTATATGTGGGGGGATATTTGGGATACAATACAGGGCCTTGTACATACTGGGCAAGTGCTGTATCACTGGGATGTATTCCTAGATCTTTATAAGAAATTTATTTTGAGACAACAGGCTGTCACTAAGTTGCCCAGGTGTGCCTTGAACTCCTGGACTCAGGTGATCCTCCTGCCTCAGCCTTCCAAGTTGTTGGGGATTGCAGGCATGCACCACTGCACCTGAATTCTCATTGACTTTTTTTTAAGTACCTCTAATTCACCAGCTAGGATTCTTTTTAATCCATAAAAGTAGGGAACTATAGTCTGATTTATTCCAAAAATATTCTAATATTTGGGTAGTTACAGTCTTAACATACTGTGACATTAGTACACATATACTATAACAGCTGCTCACCGCTTATATAATTGAACAAGTCAAATTGTAGAGGTGAGTAGGTTTAACAAACCTTTTTTAAAATATTTTTTTAGTTGTAGATAGACACTATTTTTATTTTTATGTGGTGCTGAGGAACAAACTCAGGGTCTCACGTGTGGGGCAAGTGCTTTACCACTGAGCTACGACCCTTAACAAACTTTTTAAAAGGTGCAGATCTATGTCCGTTGAATTTCTTTTGAAAAAGAAGGCATTTAGGACAATAATGAAAAGTCAAAGTAGCAAAATACTAACCTGATTTTTCTCTTACTGTAGATTGCTTATGCCCGTATAGAAGGGGATATGATAGTCTGCGCGGCATATGCACATGAACTACCAAAATATGGTGTGAAAGTTGGCCTAACAAATTATGCTGCAGCATATTGTACAGGCCTGCTGCTGGCCCGCAGGGTATGTACAAAATGACTTTAATAGATGTACTTTGGGGTTGGTTTGTTTTGATTGTATTCAGTGTTTGCACATGAGTAAAAGATTCTGAGCTACGGCTTCAGGACAGTGCTGGCTGTTCTGTGGTTTACAAGGTTGTCAGCAGGGAAGATGATTTTATAAATACAAAGTTTGATTGAAATGACTGCATTTCTGATAATCTCGAGGTGGTTATTTGTTCTGTTTTTAGCCTCATTGTGGGTATTGCTAGATGAGCTCTGTTCAGAATTGTCTGTAATGGTGGGACATCTATAATTTGCTGTCTTGTGATGTAGTCACTAGCCTGTGGCTGTTGAACACTTGATATGTGACTAGTGCTACCGAGGAACTGAATTTTTTTTTTTTGAGAGAGAGAATTTTTAATATTTATTTTTTAGTTTTTCGGCAGACACAACATCTTTGTTTGTATGTGGTGCTGAGGAACGAACCCGGGCCGCACACATGCCAGGCGAGTGTGCTACCGCTTGAGCCACATCCCCAGCCCCCTGAATTTTTAATTTGAATTTGAAAAGCTACTTGCCGCCAGTGGCTACTTAAATTATCTACCAAAGATCCTCATTACTCAAGTATACGTCTTTGGACCATCAGCATACATTAAAAATACAGACTTGGGTTTCCTCTCTAGACTCTCAGAATCTTTATTTTGACAGGATCATTTGATGGGTGTACATTAAAATTTGAGAGATGGTGTCTTTAGCATTTTTAGCATTTACTATATATTAGTGGTAGTAGGCAATACAAATGTTATTTTGCTTTTTTTAATTATTTCAGTTACTGACTTTGTTTTGCAGTGTAGTTGAGACCCCACTTCTTCACTGGTTATATACATGTTTAGTAGGTGTCACATGGTCATTATATATGAGAGCAACTTGGTGCAAAAGCCACTGTTTATGGTGAAAACGTAGCTAGGTGACCACCAGCAGAAGAGTGGCCCAAATTAAAATAATGTAGTTGGACAGTAGAGCCACAAAACATGTTCCCTTTAGCCCAGTATCCTACCCCTAAAAATTTTATTTCAATTAAGTTAAAATGACGTGATAACTTTTGATGTTGACTTTTTTAAAAGAATATTTTTTAGTTGTTAATGTACCTTTATTTTTATTTATTTATATGTGGTGCTGAGGATCGAACCCAGTGCCTCACACATGCTAGGCAAATGCTCTGCCACTGAGCCACAATCCCAGCCCCTAATGTTGACTTCTTATAGCCAGGCATGACTGAAGAAATCGGGGGTCAGTTCCTCATATAAGGATCAAATTAAGTATTATGTGGTTGGGATATGAAATATTTTTAGAATGATTTGACTCTATTAAAAACAGTCATATATTTTTACAATAACTTCTTTGTTAATAGCTTCTCAATAGGTTTGGTATGGACAAGATTTATGAAGGCCAAGTGGAGGTGACTGGAGATGAATACAATGTGGAAAGCATTGATGGTCAACCTGGTGCCTTCACCTGCTATTTGGATGCAGGCCTTGCTAGAACTACAACTGGCAATAAAGTTTTTGGGGCCCTGAAGGGAGCTGTGGATGGAGGCTTGTCTATCCCCCATAGGTAATAATAGTATTCAAGACCTCACGTATAACTAATACTTTCCTGTGTTTAACTGGGTGGTGGAGATTATCAGATCAATAAAGTTGCTATCATTGAATGCCTGCTCTATGCTAGGTACTCTGCTGGAAGGATTCCTAACATTTTATAAATGATGAGACCGAGACTCAGAAACAGAGATTTGTCCAGGGCTAATAAGTGGTATGGAAATCACTATCTTTTGCATGACTTAATTTCGATTAGAAATGACCAACTCCATTTATTTCCCTCCCCCCCCCCAGAATTTTTTTTCCCATTTAGCATAAAATTTGACCTAAACTTTCAGCTGGAAATAATATTGTACATGGCAGGCCATTCTTGAAAGTCAAGTAGGTTATTGAATTGCTAATTCCTTTGGTTTGAGTTAATATTTTGATTTTGTTTGTTGTTTTGCAGTAGTAGGGATTGAACTCAGGGCTTAATACATGTCAGGCAGACACTACCTCTCAGCCACATCCTCAACACACATTTTGATATTTTAATTTATAGCTTTTTTAGTGGTTACCTAATAAGAAAAAAAAAAGTTTGTGATTCTTGTTTATTTCAATTTTATTTTATACATTTTATTTATTTCGGGGGGTAAGCCTAAATTAAAATTGAACTAGAACTGGGTGTGTGTGGTAGTACATATCTGTAAGCCCAGCTACTTAGTAGGATTTGCAGGTTCAGGGCCAGCCTGAGAAACCTAGACCCTGTCTCAGAATTAAATAGGGCTGTGGATATAGCTGAGTGCATAAGGTCCTGCATTCATTCTGTCTACAACAGTCAAGAAGCCTCGCTATTAAAAAGAAGCTAGTGAAGTGCAAGTGTAACCAGTTGTATTCTCATTAGATGATTTCATTAATTGTGATCTTTGGACAAGTCACCTATTCCTCCCTTATCCTGAGGTACCTTGAGAAATTATAGGATTTGGTGGATACGTTTTGAAATTGCTTTCCATGCTAAGATGTAGGAGAACTTCTATTAACAGAAAGCCTTGATATAGTTTAAAGGCATTTGTCACTGAGTAGGGTGGGGCACTTAGTCCAGGCTACTTGGGAGACAGGCAGGGGAGTACTTGAGTCCAGGAGTTTTAAGACCAGTCTGGGCAATGTCTCCAAATAAAAGGTGTTTGTGGTATGAATTTCTTTGGAATTCACAGATGAGCTGCTGAATGATGATATCCCACTAACTGAGCAGTCAGTAGTTGGTCCTTTGGTTGCATATGATGCAATAATTGTTTCAAGACGGGACTGATGGCAGCTACTGAAATGAATTCCTGTGGGTGAACAAATTTCAGTTAATCTATACTAAAATATAAAAAAACTTTATTTTAGTACCAAACGATTCCCTGGTTATGATTCTGAAAGCAAGGAGTTCAATGCAGAAGTACATCGGAAGCACATTATGGGTCAGAATGTTGCAGATTACATGCGCTATCTAATGGAAGAAGATGAAGATGCTTACAAGAAACAGTTTTCTCAGTATATAAAGAACAACGTTACCCCTGACATGGTAAGAAATTTACCGAAGTTTGGCCTTTCTCGGTTAATTTATAGAATGAAGTTTACTACTTGTTTTTGGTTTAGGTTCTTAATATAGGTATATTTCAGGCTAGCGATTTTTATAGGTGTAGATAGATTCCAATTAGCTTTTCTTAAAATGGAATTAGAATATTAATGAGAGTAGATGAACAGGTGAGATAGAATAATACATGTAATGAGCTGGACTTAACATATCTTAGGAATCTTTTAGAGGTTTAAGTGTAGTAGGCTTCAAGTATCCAAAACTTGTGTTGCCTTTTTTTGACCTTGACTGTTAAATACTGTAGTCCCAGTTTTGAAATTAAGTGAAAATGTAGAATATGAATCATGTTACTCTAAAGCTGTTATAACTAAAATTATTTACAAGTATATTGGGTCAAGTAATTTCTGTTAGTACCTTATTCTTTTTTGGTGCTGCTTTGGGCATGAAAATTTTTAAAAAGTCATTATTGAGGAAAAGATCACTTCCTATTTATATGCTTTGGACCACAGTCTAAGGCAAAATAAACACATAGCTTGGTTTTTGAGGGGGGTAAAAAAAGAATCAGGAATAGTTTTACTTTTGAGACTGGTTCTGCTTAACCTTAGAATTTTTCTTTCTAAACCTATCTTGTCATACTTGTTCAAAACTATTTAGACACCTCCCCATCTGTTCTTTCAGATATTTATTTTTTAATGCTATTCTATGCCATACTTAATGGCAGACAGCTCTTTGGCTAGTGTACCTTTTCAGCTACCTCCTTTTGGGTGTGTGTGGTACTGGGGATTAGACCCCAGGTCCTTGTCATTGCTAAGCATGGGCTCTAAATACAGTGAACAGTTGTAATAGTGCTTAAAAGAGGTAGAGAAATTAAATTTTGAAATAGATTTAGGTAGTTGAGCAGTCTCACATGCAGTGTGCATTTTTGTTTTTTTCTCTTGCCAAATTTTCTATAAGTGCATATATAATCATTTTCTTCATTTTCTCCGCCTTAGTAAGACCTGGATTACCTTGACTTTTTAATGTGGTACTAAGGATGTCCATGTTCTCATTCATGCTAAATACATGGAATCATCATCACCACCATTCTTTAGGGAACCATAATTGTTATTAGATGTTCAGAGAGTTGTAGTGGAGCATTTTCAGTGTATTCTAGAGAATTTCAAGCCTCTTTGAAAGTTCTAGAGACCTTATATTACTGCCAGATACTAGTGATTAGTAATAGTGAAAGATACAAGAGATTCCTAGTACATAAGTCTGAGAATTCTTTGAAAGACCTATCAGGTAATGATGGAAATTGTAAATCTCAGAAATTTGGGGTGACAGAAGAATTTGGTAGTTGTTTTTTAGTCCCCGATGTCCAGTCCAAGAATTTAGGGCAAACATTCAATTGAACGAGGAGTACAGTGTGGGTGCTACCTCTTCCACCCCACCCCCCCGAAAAAAAAAAAACTGTTCTACTGTGATTCAGAAAGTATGGCTGAATTACTTAGGAATAAATGCAGATTGTGTTTTGTGAATATGTCCATATATGGTGCATAGGGTAAACACAAAGGATTTGTTACGATTACATTTAGGAATTGAAGCAGGAATCAACATTGACTTAGTTGTGGTTTTTTTTTTTAGAATCTGACTTAAAAGGACAAAGTAGAGCAAATAGTGGAGTGCTACTGTACGTTAATATAGTAGGGCATATGAAATGAAACCAAGTACTGTTTGCTTTCCTTTGTTTCAGATGGAGGAAATGTATAAGAAAGCTCATTCTGCTATACGAGAGAATCCAGTCTATGAGAAAAAGCCCAAGAGAGAAGTTAAAAAGAAGAGGTATGTCTTGTTTTGTCTTGTGGATCAGACTTTCAGTGAAGTTGTGCAAACTCGATCACTAGCTCTGCGTGATATGGCAGAAGCTAAGGGAACCAGGTTTGCTAAAGTAATTGTGGTGATAGGAATGTATTAGCCTCAGAAGCTACTGAGGTGGCCCATTCTATCTTCGTACAGTTTTAAATACCAGTTATTGCATTTATTATTGACTACCTAAAGAGTTCCTTTTTGATATTTAAATAGAATGAGAAATAGTCCCTAATGACCACCTAGCCATTGTACTATTTTTTTTTAATACCACAATAATAGGATCATATCATAAAAGTTGTCATTTGGGAAAGTTAGCTAAAGAACATATATAAGTACATGCATTAGAAATTGGATTATTCAGTCTCCATCTGATCACAAAGTGTTTGGTTTTAAAAAATTATATTCCTATTTCACTTTTTTGCAGGTGGAACCGTCCTAAAATGTCCCTTGCCCAGAAGAAAGATCGGGTAGCTCAAAAGAAGGCAAGCTTCCTCAGAGCTCAGGAACGGGCTGCTGAGAGCTAAACCAAACAACAGTTTTTCTATGAAGTTTTTTCAGATACAGATAATAAACTTATTGAACCAGCAGTTATTTCTGTGTTGAGCTCTTGTTGTTAATGAAACTGTAGGAAATAACCTGAAATACAAAAGCAAAGGATTTTACAGTTTCTTGAAAAAACCACTTGTAGATTTTTTCCGGAAAAAGTTATCTTGTGTGTAGACTCCAGCAAGAGTTCATACCGCCTTCTCAAGCAACAGACCAACAACAATCAGTAAAAAATATTTCTTCTGTCCATTTATTATAACCAGATAATTAGTGGGAAGAAAACATACTTTAAGTATACAATCTTAAAGCCAACAAAACTGGTGCTAATCCATGGTTTTAAATTTTGATAATGCCAATAAAGTCACAGATTTGACACATTAACCGACTTAAACCTTTGAGCAGAAAACACTGGGGCTCTTCGCCAAAATGAGGTGCTTCATTTTTGGTTGGTTCAAGGGTACATGCCAGATCTGAATGTACATATGAAAATAATACAAGAGAGAGGATCAGATTTAAGCCTTGCATATCAAGTTTACATGGGGAAAAAAACATTGGGTAGATCAATATACATGCGTCTTTAAGAAATAGCCCTTTGGCCCACAGGAAATACTATTTGAAAATAGAAAAACTATTAAAACTGTCATCATCTCTTGCTCATAATGGTCCTGTTTTCACCACACATTTACAATGAGATTTCTTTTCAGTTTTTTGTTTTCTGGAGCTGGGGCCTCATGCAATGCTGGGAAAGTACTCAAACACAGCTACATCCCCACCCCAAGATAAATCCTTTTTAAAGGGCTGGTTGATAATAAGATGGACCCATCAAAAATCTTTAGGATAATGAAATTCAGTTTCGGCCACTAGAAGTACCTGCATGTTGTCAAGTAGTATACTTCCTGAAGTTAAAAGCCACTTCAGCTACACATTTGATGTCTTGAGGTTAAAGAGTGTTTAAAGTCTACAATACAACAAACCATGCCACTAACCCAACATTTTTTTAAAGGAATAATTTTAATATATCTTTGCAATCTTAATTTGTGTTAGTGTGCAAACTTTACCATGCTAAGACATTAGTAAATTCACGTATAAATTTTTTAAACAGCTTCAATGCAAACAATGTTTTAGCAATGGTATTTTGGCTAACATAAATCTACAAAACACCCACTGTTGATGTTTATGGAATGAGGCTTTTCACAGCATTTTTTAAAAAGTCATTAGTCAAAATAGTTATACAGTGAATGTACTGGGGAAATGTAAAAGGGCTTCTAAAAGGTCAGGAATGAAATCTTTTGATTATGTTGATCCTATACCTCCTGCCATTACTGTAGTAATCACATATTTTGATGATGGCTCTCTGGCCCAGGAAAGGGATCTCTGAATCAGAAGCCATTCTTAAAATGCTCAAAATTGTTCTTGAGATAGTGTTTCCTACAAGGGTAACAATGTCCAAATGAACTAAGAGTCATTTGTGTACGAAATTTTCTTCCACAATAATGTTTTTAGATTATTTAGTATCAAAGAATGTTCCATTTCCATTTGATTTGCTGTGACTTTGAGAGCGATACAAGAATAAAGTTGTTTTTCTAATTCTTCACGAATTTCACTTGGAGCACCACGCAATAGGTAGTCTTTGAGTAACTGACAGGCTTTTGCCAAGTTTGGTTGTATTACTTCTGAAGTACATTTCATTGTATTCTGATCACAGCTAGTTCTACAATCCGTGCCATAGACACAGTCCAGATCAGATTCACAGTGACGATCCTTAATAAGTTCTTTCAGGTTTGTCTCTGGCACAATTTTTCTCATATCCACCATTTTCAAATCATACTTTTCATTATATCCTAGATTTTTGGCACTAGTATCACACATGAGGAAGTTTCCATAGGGGCCATGGAAAACATCTTCCACAAATTCTAGAAGTCCTATGGCTATTTTAGCCTTTCTGGGCCATGATGGTGTGAATAATTGATCCATACTTCTTCTGAACCCAGATGGAATAAAAAGTTCAATGACCCATGGAAGGCTTACTCCATAAAGAGAGGTATATTCAACACTTTCCATCACATAAAGGTCACCACAGAATCCCATTAGTTTGGGGGTATGTTCTTTATCTTGAAGTATCACCATGAGAAGAAATTCATTTAACTGAAGAAGTGCCCATGCTGACTTTGCTTCTCCTAAGGAAACCTGGCCATCTTTGTCTCCATCAGCCACTGTTAGGATGAGATTAACCAGTTCAGAAAGGTTTCCTTGGTCACCCAATTTTGCCTGTTAAGACAAGAATTTGGCAAATTATACAGAAGGAAAGAAAAATACAACCTTATGCAACATAATAATTTTCTCTATGGGCATTATTACTATGCTAGTAATAATCTTACTACTGAATCCCCATAAAGGACCTTAATACGTTACATCTCCAAATACTTATGATAATTTAGGTAACATGTTTTATGTAACTACAGTAAAAGCATTTTAAGGATATCTTTGTTAAGAAATGGCCACCCTAACTCCCCGGGGCCTATTAGAACCTTCAGATAGTTAACCAAGACTCGAAGTAATTATCCCTTGTCTTATTCATACATTAACTTTCCAAATTACATTGTAATGAACTCACATCAAAGTTATAAGAGTGAAAATTATTTTCTTCTATTTTGTATTTATCATATTAACAGAATTATTTTGTCCTAACTATAATTGTTCTAATAATAGAGGTTTAAAAGTTTTTGTTAAGGTTCTCTGGGATAAAATAATCTGAAATGTAGGTAAATAGCCAAAGAAAAGAAAAGCTTCTGAGTGAAAAGAGCAATAGAGATGAGAAAAATAAATTATTTCCAATACTGCAAATATTTTCATTATTGTATTGTCTTGTATTAATGTTTCTTTAAATTTAAAAAGGAATTGTAAAATGGCCACATAGAGTAAAGAATTAGTCATTTGAGTTCCATTTCTAAAAAAAAAAAAAAATAGTGTCTGGGTATCCTCAGAGGTGCTCAAGGAGGCCGACCTCTGTTCTCTGAACCCCAGCAGTCAGACCTGCTCATGTACTAGCATTTCCCCAGGACTAACCTACCCCAAGATGGAGTAGAACACACACATTCACCTGTCACCAAACTGCCATTTTCTTCATTGAACTAGTGAGAGGGCTGTCAAGTATTTGGGTCTTGGGCCTGCTTCCAGCTGCATATTTGAATTCTTGCTCTGCAGTGGACTACTCCTTGGCTGCAGTCCTCACTCTCCACAGTCACAGGGGCCTTGGACAAGTTGTTACTATGTTCATGGGGATGAATCCCGGAAAGTTTCCAAGGCAGGCCTTTTGGCACTCTCAGCTTTAGCCTTTGCGGAGCTTTATTATTTCAGCTATCATGATGTGGGCATCTGCAAAGTTGTTGCCATGCTGTAGAAACTCTGATTATGACTTAATTTTATGACTTGATTATATGCCTTGATTATATGACTTAATTTTATGAACTGATTATATGCCCCTTTGCCTCTGCTCTGTCATGCCATTCAGCTCACAATAAGGAAGAAATAACAGACAAATCCACTAGAGGACAAAGCTAATCACATGGTTATTTTAGAATTTAGTTGCTGAGGAAAAGGTTTCAGAGGAATTATATCCAAGAAATTATGAGACCCAATTTTGGATTCTAGTGAGTTAATGGGGTTGTCTCCAAGTTCACAAGACTCACAGTATAACTAAATTTTACATTTGAGCTTTTGCCTTTGTCTCTCTTTGTGTGTGTGTGTGTGGGGGGGGTGCGGTGGGATGTACCAGAGATTGAATTTAGGGGCACTTGGCCACTGAGCCACATCCCCAGCCCTATTTTGTATTTTATTTAGAGACAGGGTCTCACTGAGTTGTTTAGTGCCTTTCTTTTGCTGAGGCTGGCTTTGAACTTGCAATCCTCCTGCCTCAGCCTCCTGATCCATTGGATTATAGGCATGTATCACTGCACTCAGCTTAATATGTCAATCTCTTAAAGAGAATTCAGCTTTATTATTGTCAATATGTGATCATATTTCTGCATTTGGGAAATAAAGAATGAAGGCAAAGACTGTTAATTCATGAGTAAACACTTTGCAAAAAATTAGATAGTGGTTTAATTTTTGGAAACTTCCCCGTTGATATCAGCTACTGATGGTTTATGTTGTAGGGAAACTTTAAATTAGGAGATGCTAAAGTCTCAGATTACAGATTTCTAAATCATAGGTAAGAAAGCTTGGAGAGCTTCTAAAATTAGAGAAATTCCAGTTAGAGGAGAGGCCTTCCTTGCAGATGTGTCAGAATATTACAGATTCTAAACAGACTTAATCCTCAAATGTGTTTTACTTGTCCTAAAATAATCTGTACAAAAATATAAAATTATAAATAATGAATTGTTTTTCTAACCATAGGGATTGCTAGTGAAAAATGTATTCACTGAAAAGAAAAACAAAATTTAAATTAAATGTTATAAAATAATAATAATAAAAGATTGTAACCAGAGTGTACTCATTTTAATTAATTTATTTATTTTTGAGACAATCTTGTTATGTTGTCCAGGCAGGCCTTGAACCCCTGGGCTTAAGCAATCCTCCTACCTCAGCCTCCCAAGTAGCTGGGACTATGTCACCAAGCCCACCTAGAGTATGCTAATTTTATTATGCTTTTTCTGGTATTAGTTTCAGTGGCAAAATGTATAATACTACAACTAGTTAATGAACTCCCCCCTCACACCTGGACACTTTAAACTATTACAAGGAATGTTAAATTAAAGATCTTCCAACATGTATTTTTTTCTTTCTCTGAATTTTTCCCTCAGGACGGAGTTCCCGATAGAGGTCAAATATCAACATTTTAATGATTTAGGGTGAGTTCTGCCAATTCTTCTGGAAGAATATTTCTTTACACTAGCAATGTGTGAATAGATAAACTTACCTTAAATAGACTGTAGACCATCTCTTTGAATTTCTGTACAGTAGTTCCCCTAGTTGGCTTATCAAATAGAACTATTTCTTTTCTTGGCTCCAACTCAGTTCCAAAATCAAGATGAAGAGCTTGTTCCATCTGACATTTCACAACACCTGGTAGATTATCCCAAATCCCTAAATACATCTTTGTGAAAAAGAATGACAAGAGATATATCACACTAAGTAGAAAACTCTAAAACATATACTATTATATTTTTTAAAATGCTTTTTTTTTTTAGTTGTTGGTGGACACATGCCTTTATTTTTATTTATAGGCTCGAACCCAGTGCCTCACCCACGCTAGGCGAGTGCTCTACTGCTGAGCCACAACCCCAGCCCTATACCAGTATATTTTTAAGGTCCTCTTCCTCTACAAAACACAAACAAGCATCAAAACAAACTGAGCTACAAATCTGAAATAATCAAAGACATTTTTCCTTACATGAATTAAAAAAATAAAATGAATGTAATGCATGCCTAAAAATAGCTTTTGAAAAGTCAAAGTAGATAGAAGGATAAAACAAAATTCTTCCATATTCTATTTCCCTAGTTCCACTCCCCAGAATTAATCATTATTAAGTATCTATTTATTAAACTAACATTATATAGCATTTACTACATCTTATGTTGTGCTGGAGTCCCTGAGTCCCTGTGAGCAGTCCCTGTGGAAAATGCATGCAGCTCTGAGTGAAGCTGAAGCTGCAAGGGAGACCCCAGACAGAGATGCCAGGAAGGCGAATGTGTGCTGAGGGAGGCTGCAGGCAACGTGGCCACGTGGGCTGCAACCAGCAAGGCCTTGGGGTGGGGCTTCCCAAGCTTTTGGGAGCCCACATTCTGCCAGTGTGTTCTGAATCCTATAGTTGTAGGATTTAATGTTTGCCCTGCTGGGTTTTGGTCTTGCTTTGGTTCAGTCCCTCCTTTTACTCCCCTATTGTTCCATTTTGGAATGGGAACATTTACCCTGTGCCATTGTATTGTGGGAATGTGCAACTTTTTATTTTTACAGGGGCTCACAACTGAATTTGCTTTGTGTCCTGGAAGAAACTGTGGAGTGACGCCGAGGCAGTGAAGACTTTGGGACTCGGGATGGTCTGAATGTGTTCTGCGTTGGGAGATGGATATGAATGTTTGGGGAGCCAGGAGCAAAATGCTATGGTTTGAATGTGTCCCCAAAGGCCTACGTGTTAAAGGCTTAGTCCCCAATCTGGAGCTGTTGGGAGGTGGTAGAATCTTGACTCAGGAGGCTGAAGCAGAAGGATTGCAAGTTTGAGGCCAGCCTTGGCAACTCAGGAAGATCCTGTCTCAAAATTTAAAAAAATAAATTAAATTTAATTTAAAAAGGACTGGGAATGTAGCTCAGTGGTACAGCATCCCTGGGTTCAATCCCTACTATCACAAAAAGATGGGGTGGGGGAGATGGGGCCTAATAGGAGGTATTAAGTCATTGGGGATATACTCTCAATGGGACACCAGTCTCTTCTGCTTTTCCATTCCTTGGTCATGAAGTGAATGAATTCTGTTGTGATGTGCTCTCAAAAGGATGTACTGCCTTGCCACAATCCCAAAAGCAAGGAGGCCAACTTACCATGGACTGAAAGCTCTAAAACTGAGCCAAAAATAATCCTTTCTTTGTTTCAAGTTGAGTATCTGAGGTATTTTGTTGCAGTAATGGAAAGCAGACTGACAGTCTACTAATTAATTTTATTATTTTAATACTTACACTAACCCTATGAGGTAGGTAATATAATTACCATTTCATTGATGGGGAAACTGAAGCAGATAGGTAAAATAACATCTGGAAGTAAAAAGTAGTGGCAATGCCAGTATTTGAACCCAGAAGTCAGGACTCATAGCTTATGGTCTTAACCACTAGGACAGCCTGCCTCTCTTATTTCTACATAAAAAAAAAAAATAAATGAGAACCATATTAATTAATAATAAAACAAAACAAAAATCCAAACAAAGCAGATTATATCATGCCCCTCCTTCAAACCCTCTATTAAACTCCCAATTCAATTAGAATGAAGTCCGAAGTCCTTTCCTTTGCTTGTTAAGCCCCTTTGGAGATGGCCTGGTCTACTTCTCCATCCTAGTCTTTACCACTTTGCTCTCTGGTTCTTTATTTTTTGAGCTATGCTGGTCTTTCTCTTCTCTAAACCAACCAAGCTTCTTCCTGCTTCACATCTGTTTCACGTGTGTTGGTTCCACTTGCAGCGTATTCTCTGAGTTCTTCATAGGGACAGTTCCTTCACTTCATTCAATTATTAGCTCCAATGTCACCTTAGGAAGGCCTTTTCTAACTCCCAATCTATAATAAGAGTCCTCTCCCATCCCCTGGCACCTGGAACTCATTCTGTTTTGCTTTCCTTCTATCTTTTAAATTATCTATTTATTCATTTATGATATCTTCTCTCACATTAAAACACAAAGCACACAAGTCCAGAGGCTTTGTCTGTCTTGTTCCCCACAGTCTCACCCAATACATCAAAAAGTGCCTGGCACACAACTGACACTCAAATGCTGGAGATTCAGTCAGAAATCCTCTTATACATGATTAGTAGTGTCAACTTGAAAATTATTCAAAATTTCTAACAAATAATATATACTCATATTGGGAAATTTAGAAGTAGGATGAATATAAAAATGTAATTTTTCCCTGCCCAAGTTTTGTTGTATCTTATTCCAGTCCAATAGCATCCTATTTTTACTTACATTTCTTTGATGGGGAGGTAGAATTTTTTTCATTATGTTTATCAGCTGTTTATGGTTCTTTTGTGATTTAGCTCAGCCTATGCTTATAATTTAATTCTTTGTTCATGCATGAGCTCAAATGTTATCTCTCAAAGGTCTTCCCTGATCATCTCCTCTAAAGCATTTCTACCATCCCTCTTCCCCATTCTCTACCAACTCACCTGTGTGCCTCCTATATATAGAACACACCATAGCCGATAATTGTTTTGTTTATCAACTGCTTGTGTCTCTCATCTCTCTGGGGGAAATGTAAGGTTCATAAGAGAAGTAATCTTATCTTTTTTCTTTGTTTTTTTTCCAGTATTGGGGATTGAGCCCAAGGGTTTCACATATGCTAGACAAGCATTCTACCACTGAGCTACACTCCCAGCCCTTCTTATTTTTTACTTTGAAATAATTAAAACAGTATCTGGGGATACACAGGGAATAGAGAAGAAATAAGTATCTGTTGAATGAATGAATTAAAGCCTATAAAACTGAATTACATGTAATGTTCTAAAACTCTGGTTCAAAAATTATTTTAATAATGCCTTTAGTTTAAGGTAGAATTAAAGCTTACTGACATTCTGGAGTCTTTATTCATAATGTCCATACCTGATTGTTGGGCTTGGTAGATAAACATTTTCCAAAATAAAGCGTTTCCGTAACACAGAGGCTATTACATGCGGGCCCATCGATAACTCCAGTCTTGTACTTGTCACACTAAAAACCAGGAGATAAAAAAAAAAGTAGTTAATAAAAAAAGGTTCATGGGAAGAAACATCTGAAAGATATCAATAAAAGGTATTTTTATCCTTTAAGAGAAAGTTTTCTGATGAAAAGAATGTGGGCTTTGGATTTAGACAGAAATGTATTTGAATCCATCTGCTCTATTACTTTCTACCTCTATGATGATGAGAGGGAGCTTCTTAGTTTTTTTTTTTTTTTTTTTTTTTGGTGCTGGAGATTGAACCCAGGGCCTTGTGCTTGTGAAACAAGCACTCTACTAACTGAGCTACACCCCCATCCCTGGGGGCTTCTTGTGTGCACAGAAGTTTAAAACTATTTTTCCCACGTAGAGTGGTCTAAGGTGGTAGAATCCCTACTTCCTCCAACAATAGAAACATTCCATTTGAAAAATTTTAAATAAAGTTATGTCTGTCATTGTGTCATCCTTGAGTCACACAAAAACAAAAAGAAAATGAGAAAAACGCAAACTCCATATTTGATAAAATAAGGTACCAATGTAATCCTAGGCACAATACAATAATTGAGGGTGATCTACTAAACCCAGAGATTATACCAGAGCCCCCAAATAGGCTGAGATTAAACACCTGCTGAGGCCTGGGTTCTCAAAATGGGCAGGGCACCAGGCAGGAGGTGCATCTGAGGAGCAGAACCATCATCTGGTTTACAAGGAAGGTTTGAGGGGCACAAGCTTCCGGGACTTCCCAGAACACCACCAGACACCATGAAGTAGTGGAACAAGGTGGGGTTGTATGATAAAATCCTTAAACATGTTAACTTTGTTGGAGGCAGTCTGGTGATGGACTACAACAGCTGGGAGAGACAAGAGCCCTGTACCTCCTGCAGAGATACACAGGCTAATATGTCTGTGTGAGGTCTCTGTCTCTGCCTCACCTCTTGTCTGTTCCTCAACACACACACACACACACACACACACACACACACCCAACAATCAGCTTCACTGCTAGCTCAGTTCACTGCCCAGTTGCTGTCTGTAAATAGTTGACTGAAAAAAACAATTCACATAGGAATGAGTAATAACTAAAAAAATAAGCAAGAGATCTATACAGTAAACTTAAAAGAATTAGGAGGAAAGAAATAGGAAAAGCAAAAATCAGATAAAGAAAATTTCCAGAAAAAAATGTTATCATGAAGTAGAACAAATATGTTGCTATGAATTCAAAGGATTTACTGAAACAGTTTAAAATAAATTGTGGTATATTTAGAAAATAAACTACTTAGTAATTAAAATGGAAGAAATAAGCTCATATACATCTACATGGAAAATATTTGTAATGTTAAGAGGCAGAAGTTGCAGATTGACACGTGGGATCTAGTACCACTTACTGAAGTTTAGAAGCATACAAAGACTCTGGGAGTGCAGCTTAGTGGTAGAATATTGCTTACCCTGCATGAGACTCTGGGTCTGATCCCCAGCACAGGGGAAAAACATGCAAAGTAATACCATGTGTTGTTTATGTGCCTACAAATAGGTAAGGAAAGTATGAAAGCATAATGGCAGGACACCCACCATACTCAAGAATGGATATTCTGGAGGAGGAAGACTATCTAGGAAGATACAGAGAACTTCAACTGTACCTGTAATGTTTTATTTCTTTGGGAAAATGGAGCAAATATGGTAAAAGCTTACGATTTGTTAAGAAGGTGGTAGATACATAGGTGTTTGTCAAATTGTTTTCTTTATGCCAACATTGTCCTAAGCAGTTTGCATGTATATCTCTTTAATCCTCAAAAATTTCCTTATGGAATAGGGTTAGCACTTTCTCTTCATTGATAAGAAAACAGACAAGCCAGGTGCAATGGTGTAAGCTTGTAATCCCAGCAGCTTGGGAGGCTGAGGAAGGAGGATGGTAAATTCAAGCAATTTAATGAGACCCTGCCTCAATAATAATAATAATAATAATAATAATAATAATAATAGTAGTAGTAGTAGTAGTAGTAATAGGGCCGGGGATGTGGCTCATTGTTAAAGTGCCTGTGGATTCAATCCCCAGTACCAAAAAAAAAAAAAAAAAAAAGGAAAAAGAAAACGAGACAAGGGAAGTTAAGAAGAGGTTAAGAAGGCTATGGTTGTGGCTCAGTGGTAGAGCACTAGCATGTGGGAGGCACTGGGTTTGATCCTCAGCACCACATAAAAATAAATAAATAAAATAAAGGTCCATTGACAACTAAAAAACATAGTTAAAAAAAGAAAAAAAAAGAGAAGAGATTAAGAACCAGGCACACCTGTAATCCAAACAAGTCAAGAGGCAGAGGCAGGAGGATCACAGGTTTGAGGCCAGCCTGGACAACTTAGCTAGATCCTGGCTAAAATTTAAAATAATTAAAAAAAAAAAAAAAAACGGCTGGGTGTGGTCCTGGGCTCATTCCCTAATTGGGGTGGAAGGAGTTAAGAAACATGTAGAACAGGTTCATGGTAGAGCTAGAATCTGAGCCTATATAGTTTGCCTCCAGAGCTTTTAACCAGTTAGGTTAGGTACAAGAACTATAATTACCTGTGTTGGAGAGGAACTAGTAGAGCAGGGTTAGTACTGACTAGGTCAAATGCCCCTCCCAAGCGTTCCCATTAAAAATTTGCAGGCACACTCATTCCTTGATAGTCTTCATCCTCCACACAAGCAACTCAAAACAGGGCCAGGATATTCATCTTTGTTTCCTCAGGGTTTTGAACAATGCCTGACATAATCAATCACAGATATGAGTGTAAATATAATATATGTAACACATATAATGCACCTGTCAATTGGATGAGTGAGTGAAGTAGATGCTGGGTTTTTACATGGGAGTAACAAATAGCTCTCCTCCTCTTCCTCCTTCTTCTCCTCATCCTCTTCCCACCCCTCCCCTTTTTGTACTGGAGATTGAACCCAGGGGTGCTCTACCACTAAGCTACATCCCCAGCCCTATTTATTGATTTATTTTTATTTTGAGACAGATCTCACTAAGTTGCTGCGGCTGGCCTTGCACTTGCAATCCTCCTGCCTCAGGCCCACAAATTGGTGAGATTAGAGGCATTCACCACTGTGCCCAGCTCAGAAGTAGCACATTCTATCATGAAGAACTTCTGGGATAGGATTGAAAGAGCTGTCACTTCCAGCGTCCTTTTTTTTTTTTTTTTTTTTTGGAGAGAGAGAGAGAGAGAGAAGAGAGAGAGGGAGAGAGAGAGAGAGAGAGAGAATCTTTTAATATTTATTTTTTAGTTATTGGTGGACACAACATCTTTGTTTGTATGTGGTGCTGAGAATCGAACCCGGGCCGCACGCATGCCAGGCGAGCGCGCTACCACTTGAGCCACATCCCCAACCCAACATTTCGTCTTTTATTCTGCCCAAAGTCAAGATTTAAAAGTACCTCACTGCCCCATGCATCTTCCAAATGAATAAGCTTGAAGCTGTGCATTTCTCTCCTGAGCTTATATTCTTCCTTCATTCTTTCTTTATATTCCCAAATCTAACATTATTTTCCCTGCTAGACAATAATTTGATCTGAAGGCACAGAGTTGGTCACATCCATCTTTGAACTTCCTCTGTAGCACATAGCACAGTTTGCTGTTTAAATGTTCAATAAATGTTTATTAACTAACCAACACAGTGGTTTTGGGTTTAAAATCTCATTGGAAGCCAGCCACAAGGAAGACTGAGGCAGGAGCAGGAGGCTTGTTTGAGCCTAAGGGGTTCGGCGCCAGCCTAGGCAACACAGCAAGACCATATCTTTAAGAAAAAAAAAAAAACTGGGGAAAAATTATTACTTTTCCATGACACCTAAAATGTTTTGTTTTACTTTAAAGCACAAACTAAGTTTCTTAGTAAACTGCTAAGCAGTGAAGTATTTAGCTACTAGAATCAAATTTCTTGTTTTGAGCAAAGGCCTCAAGCCAACCCGCATCAAAGAGGTAGTCACAAAGTCACAAAGAACAGGCTCTTCAACTTGTGGTTTCTATCACAAACCAAAAGCAAATTTCCCACATACTTTTGTGAAAAGGAGAGTTAGTTGAGTTTTGTTTTATTTTTCAGGCATACTCATACACATAAAACTTTAATCACAGAAAGTAATATGATAGTCAAATAAAAAGACACAGACATTATAATGCATGCTCAATGTTACAATAATCAGCAAAAAATGTCAAAGGTTTATCCATTCCTGAGATTTTTATTATCCTGATTCTACCACCACCTCTTCGCTTGTACTTCTCTCACACTACCAGAAGATGACACTCTTGAGCTTCATTTAAAAAAACCCACCCATGTTGAAGGAATAATTTCATGAACTACAGGAATTGTACCACAAGGGGGCAATAACAATAAACACATGTATAGCAGTAGGTTTTAAATAATTTTATAAGATCCACATTCTAAAAATCTATTTCAGGCATCAATTTCAGACTTCAGCTTCTCCTTAGTAAGGGGAAATAAAAGTAGAGTTGGGTTGTTCACAGTGCCTGAAAACCCTCCACGTCTCTAGTCCACCCCCTTTCCCATTCCCTGTACCAACTCTTGTTATATCTTCATCATCTTCTGCACTCACATTACCTTCCAACTTCTCATTCTCTGCTTCTGACTTCTCTGTATTAGCCATTAAAGGTGTTCTTTCCCTGTACACAACACACACCTTCTCTATTCTTTCCTTTCCTACTGTATAATGACCATAATTTTTAAATTTATTTTTAAAAAAAATTTTTTTTAGTTGTAGATGGACATGATATCTTTATTTAATTTATTTATTTTTATGTGGTGCTGAGGATTGAACCTAGTGCTTCACACATGCGAAAAAAGCACTTTACCACTGAGTCATAACCCCAGCCCCATAATTTATTTTAAAATTCCCCAATACACACAATATGGTATTTGCGTTGTTGTTGTTTGCAGGTTATAGTCCAGGTATCTTTAATATCATAACCAAGGTTGCACAGGTGTGTTCCGTTGGAGCTCTAATCAGGAAGCCAATGTTTCAGAGGC